ATGTGCGTTAGTATGATAATGTCCCCGAAGTGAGTTCATGAAGGAAAACTATGCTAAACCCTGCAGGTGGATTTATTCCGGCATAATATGAATGCTATGAGCGAGCGCTAGCTTCGGTAATATAATATATTAATTAATTCTTGATTATTAGTGATCGAAATAATTAACATTATATCTTAAACATGGGGAGGTAAATCGGATAATTATAATAAGGAGTCTCAAATGTAATTTGGGATAGGTGAAGGGAGTGCAATAATATTATTGTGGTGGACTTTAATATTATTAATATATTAATTGTGGGGTTGCTCCACAGTATTAATATATTAGAAGCCCTTATCCTATTCTCCATAGGGTCCCTACTGTAGCTCTATATATACAGCATTAGGCTCTTGGAAGAGAAGAGACAATCCCATCAGCTCTATATTTCGTCCGCCCCTCTCTCTCTCTCTCTTTACAAGGAGTTCTTCTATTTCTTGTGTTCCACTGATACAAGATCTAGAAAGCTATTTGAGAATGCAGTAGAAGATCTTAAGGTATATAGAGATTCCAATCATACATCCAAACCGGAGACCAAAACCAGCAAGTGACCATACCACGACGACCAGGACAACGAGACGAAAAGATCGCCGTCGAGATCGCCGCCGGACTCCGCCGCACGCGCCGCCACGCGCCGCCGCAAGGAAGCAGTCGCTGGAGTTTGTCGTCGCGCGTGAGAGCGCGTGAGACCTCCGATTTCCGATCGGTCAATGCCGTTGACTTCGCCGTGACGTCAGCTTTCTGGATTAGTCAAGTTCGCTCGATTCCAAGAAGATTTGATTTGCGGTCAACTGTCCGGGCCAGCCAGATCTACATAAATTTTAAGCAGTAAGTTTTCTTCATCAAACCTTTAGATCCGTTGCGCATAGGTTTATGTTGAATGTTTGTCCGTGATTTGTGCATATCGAGATCCTCGTGGGTTCCAACAATTGGTATCGGAGCATGAGGTTAATCCGTTATGTACAAGATCCGGATTAAACTGCTTATATTGTCTATGTGTGCTCAAGTATATGCATAACTTGGTTTTGCAGGAAGTAGTTAATCCACTATTATGGCCCCCCTTTTATGTGCTTGTGCTTAATTGATGGTTGGTTGTATGGTTTTAAATATGTTTTTAAAGCCTCGGGATTGTCGAGAAATTATGGATGAATGCTTGTATTAATTGCCCCGGGGGTTGACCGGATAGTTTAATTAATTAGTAGAAAGCATGTACATCCACTCGTTGGATCTAAGAATCGATTTATGTAATTTTGTAAATTATATTTTTCAAATTGTGATCGACCGTTGGAGACCGGGCCTTCACAAAGATCCAAAGAGACTCGACAAAGCAAGGAAGAAACCGGAGCCGGGAGCCAAGGCTGGTCGACGCGGCCGCAGCTTCTACTGGTGGAGGTTTTGTGGAACTTGCAGTACAAGTCAACCAGGATTCTACTGCAGTGGGAGTTCCAGTTGGTTTAGGACAGAAATCCTAAACCAAGGAGAATAAATAATTAATTGGCCATAATAGTGGATATTTATTTATGGCATTAATTATTTATTTGTTTATTTATGCATGGGAATAATTGTTGCTTTGTGTGCATAGAATTATTTAGAATTGCATGAATAAATATTAAAAATCCTCATTTAAAATACTAAGTTGAGAAGGATATTTAAAGTTAAGATAATTTTAAATTTCTAAGGCCTCCATTTCTAATTCGTTGGTAAATCAATTAAATGATAGTGTGGGCTTCCCCGAGGATGACATTACTTGAAAATTAATTGAAGGATAATTACCAGAACGAATTTCTAAATTTAGACGGTTAGAGGAAATCGAATGAGAGCGTACGGGTCAACCCGAGGTGAACGTATAATCGATTTTGACGACCTTAGGACCGAGAAATGGGATTCACTTAGAATGCTATTCATTTCATAACCCCCCGAGGGGTCCCTGATTTTTATTGCATGGCCAAAAGGTGACCGACTATTAATTTCGTTCGTCATGAATTTGGTTTTGACTAATGGAAATTAATGGGTTCTGGAAAAAACCCTTCTTTAAAGAAACGAAGAATTAGTAGAGTTGCCCAAGCATCATACTAAATTCTCAAGGTTTAAGGATGTCGGTGAATTTAAGTTACTATTGTTTTGAGGATGTCAATATTAACAGTTAAATTCAAAATGTTTAATCAGTAAAATTTTTCGTAATTCTCAGGTTTATTCATCATGTCGTTCAATCCGTTGTCTATTATCCTAAAAGAAAATCAAATTACCGGTCCTAATTACATTGATTGGAAAAGGAACTTAGACATAGTGCTGACTGCTGA